CCACAGTCGTCTGGAAATACAATTCCCATAATCCCACAGCGCATTCATCCGCAGCTGTCACCTGAAAGGCAAAGCTAAGAGTAGGTAAGGTGACCCTTCAGGTAACAACAAGCAAGTCACTGCAGCAGGACCTTCACCATCTGTCGCTTCTGCCAGAGCCGCGCACACACGGTCTGAATGTTTACAAGCTTGTTCAGAAGCCTTACAACAAACACGGCTCTCCTGAGGTTAACTTAGCACAGGAGGAGAAAAACAAAGAAAGAAAGAACTGAAAACAGATTATCTTCAGCCGCCACTGAGGGTTTTATTTCTTTACATAAATAATTGGACTTTATTCCAGTATGCATTTATTTTTATCCTATTATCTTTTATCTTGTTTACTTAAACTTAAAACTTTGTTTTATTATGATTAATTTAAAAATACTCCCATAATAAACATTAAAGAACATATTTTATGTGTTCTTGCTCAGCGGTCGGCAACCCAAATGTTAAGAAGAGCCATTTTGTCCTTTCAATAAAAATCAAGCCACCTTGAGAGCCACAACATTTGTCCATTTTAGCATTCTGGCTGCAAATGTGTGTCAGTATGTGTTAATGTACTAGTATAGGATAAAAATATAATATAAACGAAAACGCAGGCTTACTTTGCTCTGCTTTAAGCTTTAGCTCAGCTATGGCCGCTTTTCTCACATCTCTGACAGAAAACATTTCGAAAAGTAGAACAATTTCTTGTAAAATGTTCGACTTTTTACGACTACTTCTCATTTAAATTTTCACGTTCCACCTTAAATGGTGCCTGAGGTGCCAGAATGGATCTGCTGCGTCACTTAAGGAGGAGCGAGAAAATTCAAACAAGAAGCTTCACGACTTTTTAGTGTTTGACAGTTTCTCATTGTAGATTAAACGTATCAGGAAACCAGCTGGAGTGATCAGAAATGCAAATAAGTCAGTTCATCTCCAAATATATGATGTTGATCTTCAATCTTTCTCTTTGCTGTTTCGTTAGGCGAGATTGTTGTCTGTGTTGCTATGGTGACCAGCAGTCTGCATGCCAGCCTTCAGGGTTAAAGGGTGAATTAGCAGTTCTACATTAACTCTAGTTTAAGACCATTTATTGTTAAACTGTGTTGAACGATCAGCAGAGCTTTATTTTACTGTAAAGGAGGATTATTTTATTTTTACCTACAAATCTGATTCTGCTGTGGAGCCACAACAGGGCAGGAAAAGAGCCGCATGCAGCTTTTTATGTGTAATGTTGATGATGGTAAAACAGTGATGAATCTGATAAGTTTTCTTTGGGTCTATTTTGCCTCATAACACCCTAACATGCACCTCTCCACCCTTCATATATTTAAGAAAATACTAATTCAATGTAGTAACTTTCTGTGAGGGAGCTTTTAGAGGTGGACGTCTGGTTCCTATCACCACCACTGTGAACGATTCTGACAAACCACTCTGAATGACTTTGTTCATATTAAAATGACTTAATTATGCAGAAATTTTTAAAACTTGGTGGAATTCCCCTTTAAAACTCGGTGTCAGAGGAGACAAAGTGCACAGAAGTTGCTGAAAAGGGCAGAGAAAAGTGTCTCTAACCTCAATACTGTACACACAGCACTGTTAGGAGCACACTAGGCCATTAAGGCTAGAACTAATGTCTACAATTCCAGACGCCATTTCCAGAGCCTCCTCTGATGTGAGCGCTCTCTCTCAGTGACCTGCAATTACAGTAAACGCTGGCTTCCTGTGCACTTGAGAAAAAGAAGAAGGGAAAAAAACACAAGCCCATGAGAGGACGGGCGAACGGTAATAGAGAAAGAAGAAAAGCCAAATTACTGTCGGCTCTCGTCTCTTAAACGACACGTTTCAGCTTTGTGGAGAGAGGAGGAAAGAACGGCAGCCTCACCACCACGAGCACCAAACAAAAGACTTCCATCACTGCTTACACACACGAAGACTGTAAACCATAAAAAAAAGAGCGCACAATCAGACATTCACACGGACAAAATAAACTCCTACAAATAAAGGCTTATCGGTTATTTAAGATGCACATTTCTCAGAAAAACCTTTCCGTTATGTTTTGCTGTTAATAAATAGTTTATAAATATATACGTATATATACGTATAAATATATAAGTATGATTCGTCCACTGAATGGTTCTTAAAGGAACCACAAGTTGGTCTCCAATTACATCATATCAAATGACCTTTTCTGGCACCTTTAATTTTAAGAGTGTTAAATAAGTAAGTAAATAAATAGTTTGGAATCATTTGTCATATTAACAACTGTTGTTTGTTCAGTATTATCTTATTCAGTGTAGATTGAAATACTGTAATCTGTAAGATAATTTAGAAAAAGATTTTTAAAAGAACGTACTAAGGTCTAATCCAATTTCTTTGAAATCTTCCCTCTGAAATGGGACCCTCAAATAAAAAGAGCATCACTTCATTAACAGCTACCAGCGCTGCTCTGTAGGCGACCCTGCCAGTCTGCAGTGACAGCAGAGGAGGGTAAAGTTCAGCTCCTCACTGCTGGGCTTTAGTTACATTTAGGGCATCATATGCCTTCAAAGAGGGGGGCAATTATTTATTAACACCCACCTCTAATGTGTCGGTGGTATGAAGATAAAGTCAGATATTCGTCAGCTTCTCATTCGAATTTTCCCGTTCCACCTTAAACGCTTTAGGGTGGAATGGGAAATTTAGCTAGCTAGCTACCAAGACATCAGCATAGTACTAGTGATTTTTAATGCTTGTTATGAATAAAACGACCATAATACATTGAAACGACATTAAACTAAGATAATACAGTGGTTATCGTAATTTTTAACAGAGAAAATACTTACATTTGTATGTTTCTTTGGTCTGTCGCACCGCCGTCTTGCGTTTTTTTTCTTTTTTCCTCATAACACTCTGTTTGGAGGGCGATGTAGCCCCAACACTTCACCCTACCCCTCTATCTCAACAAGAATCGGGACACCCTACCCCTAGACGTGAACACGCAAAACAGAGGGGTAGGGCTAAATGGCAAGGGTGAGGGGTGAAATGGGATTGGGCCCAAATGTACATATTAAATGACATGTAATATACTGTAATTATTTATTTATAGCCATATAGTCTCTGTATATTCTTACTCTAATCTGCCTCAGATTTGATCACCACAATTCAGATGTGAGGCATTCTGAACATTGGCAAAAAGTTTAGTTTCCCCTGGTAGAATCACGTTTGATTTATAAGTGTAAACAAGTGAACACGTCCTCTACAGAGAACACACTTCTGCACATTTAATGCCTGGTTACTGTTTATTTGCTGAATTTAATATATTGGGGGAAATAACAACAAAAAAAAAGACAAACAAACCATAAAATGTGGCCTGTGCAAAAGTGATGGTGCATTTTACATTTTATTTATTACATTAAATTCAGCAAATAATTAGAAATTGTGCACTAAAATTTGCAAAATACCACCATATTTATGTTCTCTGTAGAAGACATGCTCCGCTTAGAAAATCAGCAAAACACTTAATTTCAACAGGGGTGCATGAACTTTTGCATACAGCTGGCATTCTCAGTGCTCTATAGCTTTCTCAGTTATTAATCGCTCCGTTCATCATTCTGGAAACATTTCTTCATTTTTACAGCTTCCTATTAATTAGCTGAAAGCTAAGTTGTAGAGCAGAAATATCTCAATAACCACATTTTGTACATGCATCTTCAACAAACCTGGTTTCATATTCATCAGAGCAGTGACTCCAAACCTAGTGTATGTAAATCTTAAAAATATGTTCGGCAAATTATGTAAGACATTCAGTTAAACACACAAAGCACATTCTGGCTTACAATCAGCGTTTTGTGTTTATTTGTGATAAAGAACATGGAGAGGGGGCGGGGAGAGGAGCACTCAATCCAACATATGGTACATTTTATTAATATTCTTATTATTATTTCATTCACTTAGTTACCTGAGTGAGTAGTAACATTCTGCAGCTTCAGCTCTTCCTTCAGTTCTCAACTCTCAACTGACAAAACCATTTTTTAACAAAACTTCTCTTACATAAAGCATTTTCTATTTAGCGTCTTCTTATCAGGCATATATATTTCAAACGTAATATAAAGCATGTCATGAAATAGCACTGCTGCCAGTGCGTCACGAGGAACATTAAAGCGTACGATAATGCTACTGCGCTATGCTAATGCAGCAGCTGCAGGAACTAAAGTTCTCCAAACGACACAAACACAGAGGTTCTCCGAATCAAGAACACTGCAAAAAAGATATCGGCAAGAGAAAGAATCTTAAATTTAGACAATGTATTTAATATTTCTCACTGAGATTGTTGTGTGAACATTATAAATCTATTTGACTTATTTCTCCTATTACAACCTATTTTAAGCAATTTTATGAAGGGAAATGATCTTATTGGCAGACAAATTATCGCATTTCAAGAAATACTGCTTGAAGGAGCTGAAATGATCCGCCAGTGTAGCGATATAATCTGACTTGGTAAGAGTTCACTTTAAAGGACACACTGTACACAAAACCATGGCAACACATTCACATATACACCCATCAGGCATAACAATATGACCACCTCAGACACAGCATCAGACACAGCAGTGCTGCTGGAGTTTTTCTCCTACCTTGTCAGTCCACCTTGTAGATGTAAAGTCAGAGACGATAGCTCATCTGCTGCTGCACAGTTTGTGTTGGTCATCCTCTAGTCCTTCATCAGTGGTCATAGGACGCTGCCCACAGGACTGCTGGATATTTTTGGTTGGTGGACTATTCTCAGTCCAGCAGTGACACTGAGGTGTTTAAAAACTCCAGCAGCCCTGCTGTGTCTGATCCACTCAGACCAGCACAACACACACTAACACACCACCACCACGTCAGTGTTACTGCAGTGCTGAGAATCATCCACCACCCAAATAGTACCTGCTCTGTGAGGGTCCATGGGGGTCCTGACCACTGAAGAACAGGGTAAAAGGGGGCTAACAAAGTATGCAGAGAAACAGATGGACTACAGTCTGTAACTGTAGAACTACAAAGTGCACCTATATAGTAAGTGGAGCTGATAAAATGGACAATGAGCGTAGAAACAAGGACCATAATGTTATGCCTGATTGGCGTATATGTTACGTTATTGTATCAGCCATCCAAGATCTTGTGAACCGTGAAGTCTCTGCCTTTTAGGGTCATTTAATTTTTACAGAAAGTGTGTGATTCTACAGGCTGTTCACTGTAGCGTCTGAATACCCACTGAATGGCCACTCATCTAGCCTTCATACTTTCACCATCATATCTGCATACAGACATCTCTGATAAAAAGACTATAATAAGTAAGATTAGCATATAGCTAAGCTAACAGGTGCCAATAATATTCAGACAGGCTTCACTGAGTCAGCATTCAAACTGGAACATTTAAGGAAAAGAATGTTACTTGAATGTTTGCTATAAGCGATAAGTATCTGTATTTAAATTGCAATAAAATGTAAATATACACCACCGTTAGCTTCATCCATAACAATGAAATTGCCATTAAAAGGCTTGTATTAATCAGCATTTTCTTAGCAGTAGCAAACAGATACACAAAAGCTGCTCATAAAGCGAATTATGAAGTTTCTATATTAAACTTTGCTGTGTATTGACATTTTTGGCTAATTTTATGACCGTATTTGTGGTCTTTTAGCATAAACAAGCTTAAAAAGTTGAACAAGTGGTCTTTCTGTACTCTGCTCTGCTGCAGCCATTGTTGAGCTCTCCACCACAGCACAGTGACCACAGCCCCTACCAAAAAGAGCAGTGGTCATTAGCATAGAAGCTGAACACCCAGAAACCTAAAGGGAACTAGATTAAATCATATTAATGAAAAATGTCTCTTAAGTAAAAATGCCCAGGAATAATCTTATAATATTCTTACAGCAATCTCAAAATTAGACATATCGCATATATCGCATACATTAAAGAAGCTTTCACTTGCCAAGATATCATGTCCTGCAGTGTAAGGCCAAAGAAGAAAGAAAAGAAGGACCTACGGTCAGTGGTGACCAAATGAGAAAGGGCAGTTTTATTGATAAGTGCTGTAACAGTGATGTATTGAAAAGTAAGTTTCCAAAAAAAAAGATCAGGTAACAAAAAGCCTCACTGAGCCAATCACACTAAAACGCATACATTATACATTCTAACTATACAGGCCAGATTCTATGTGATTATGAGATAAGAAGGCAAATGAGAAAATAGAAAAAAACCTTTCTGTATTTGCCTGAAGGAAAAATAAAATTTATGCAACAAACATGCTGCTCACATTTGTTTATATGTGAATGTACATACATTTTGTATCTGTGCACTACATGGATCACGCAGGATGGAACCCACATGGAGACTTTCTTTAGATTGTATTTTATACGTATATATGTATATGTATCTAAAAAAGAAATTTGGTTTATGTTTACGCTGGGATGCTGAACAGTTTGGGAAAAAAAACCATTTATACCAATAAATAAATAAATCTTTAAAACGTATCCAAGAAAACCACAAAAAGACAATAATAAAAAGATCACGATTGTACTTAACGTGTTTAATGATATGTGATAAACTAGTGTGATCAGAATTGTATTTCGGGATAACGGTCAGTTCAGGAGAATAATATGGAAGCCCAATTAATTCTACTAATCAGAGAAAAAAAAAAACATAAGAGGTCTGTTTTTCTCAGTTGCTGACAGCAGTATGTCAAACTTTTGACTTATTTTCACAATATTTGAGAATTTCTAGAATTTGGTCTCAAAACAATGATTTATAATCTGAAAATAAATACCTTCACTCTCAACAGCTCATTATTTCAATGTACTATGTTTGGCCTTGCAAATTAAAAAAAAGAGATAAGTCATAATTAAGATATGAGTCATAATTTTGAGAATGAAATAATTATTTTGAATTCAGAGTCAAATTTTAAGATGAGACGTCAAAATCTTGAGGAAACAAATAACTGTTTTGCTAACACTTTATTTGGATAGTCCACTTTAAATGCTTTGTAGATACTTCATTTACTTTTAGGTTACATTCAACTAAATATCTACTAAACTGACCATAATTTTCTTTAACTCTAAATCTGGCTTTAATCCTAACCCTAACTTTAATCTCAACCCAATACCTAAACCCAACCCTCACACTGGTCCTAGCCCTAATCCCACCACTGTTTAGAAAAAAAGTTTCAGCAGTTAGTTAACAATTTGAACATAGGTAGATCTACAGAGAATCTATATTGGACTATCCAAATAAAGTGAGGCCGTTGTTTCAATACAGTAGCTGAAATTCAGAGAGAAAAACACCCATATTTTGTGATGGTTTCAACATAATACGTCAACGAAATACTGCTGTCAGAAACAGAGATGGAGAAAAAAAAAAAAATTTTTATGGTTGAAGGATGAAGCTTCTTCATATTCCCATCCAATGAAATAAACCTATTGTGAGTGAAAAAAGACGGTGACTGAGGACAAAACTTAAATTTGATGAATAAAATGGACCAAAGCTCTGTTTGTTAGGTTATTTATTTTTGGAATCCCTCTGTCTTTCCTGACCTGCTATAACTGACCCATGACACCCTCGAGAAAACAACAAAAAAAAAAAACACAAACAAAAGATCACATTATAATCAGAGAAATAAAAAGAGCTTTTTTCAAATAACAGTAAACAAGCTGTGACCATGCTCTGCAACAGGAACTGTGCCGTAACCCAGAATTCAGCACTGCTGCGCCGTAGTGACCGTTCATCCAGCGGCCGAGCGCGGTTTTGATTGACATGCCCTTTAGACCGTGTGATGAGGTTGGATGGTGAAGTCAGAGATAATGGAAGCCCAGGGGTCCGATATGAGGAAGCTGAAAAGTGTGTGGGGGGGTTGGGGGGGGAAGTCCCACAATAACATCTCATCACTCACCAGTCACAATAGAGGCACTTCCACCGGACGTTCCAAAGCCGTGGACGATCAAAAACGATGCAGACGTGAGCCCACACACGCTCGCTCGCTCAAATCTACAGCATCTAAGGGTCATATTAGACGCTCGAACGACGATAAACTTACCAACACCCATTTAAACCCTCGATCGACCCCGTACACACCCGCACACTCACCCACACGCTCACTCACACACTCTCTCTCTCTCTCTCTCTCTCAGGGCGAGTCCATGCTGAACAGCTCGATTCCCTGAGAATTCCAATAGAGCCCTACTGCAGAGTTAAAGACCAAAGACCACACGTAAGGGATGAAGAAATCTTCAGGCTGGTCTTCCTCCACATACTTAAACTTCAGCTCTGGAAACTTCTGCAGAGACAAGAACACACAAACAAACACGTTCACATTACTTCCCTTCTAAAACGTCTTGTTAAATTCTTGTTTTTCTCTGATCTTCCATCAAAATGTAGTGATTTTTGCCGCACTGGAGACTAGCTAGCATCTAGATTAATAAACAAAAGTTTGTTTCCTGTCAGATCGATAGGAACCAGTGCCTGTAGGGACACACACAGAAGTGTGGATAGTGAAAGAGAGAGTAAATGACAAAACGCCAGTAGTAGCACATAATAAATGATTACTGTGATTTAGCGTGTAGGGTTTCTGAGGCTGAGACGATACGAAACGAGTCAGTGAGGAAGCAAAGAATACATGACCTGACTCAACCTCTGGGTATTAGTATAGGTTTGGAGATAAGCTCACCCAAACTACAGCCATACAAACCACCCAGGTCAATCCCACATCACTGACTGAGAGAAAGCAAACAAACGAATCTGAAATCCAGCCAATCTATAAAAACGCGTCATTCAACCGAACCCAGCAGAAGGTCAGCGGTACGTCCATCAGGCCCAAAATCAGCCGAACCACGCCAAACCCCTGCCAGGCCAGGTGAGCTCCAGCCAGCGCAGCAGCAGCAGCTAGACCGCCGTGCTCCATCAATGATGCACCGGAGGCCTAATTCTAAAACTTCTTGTTAAATTCTTGTTTTTCTGTTATCTTCTATCAAAGTGTAGTGACTTTTGCCCTTCCCTTTAAAACATTGTCTGATTTTTTGATGACATCATTGTGCACCAGAGGGTGGGGCAACATAATATTAACCAATAATATCATCCCCTCCTTCCTCATCAGCGTGACCTTCCAAAAGCTGACACAAAACAAATATCTGTAATTAATAACTCTACATTTACATACTGTTATATGTAAATATGCAAACTTAAACACACAGTTGCTGTTCATTTGCTGAGTTCAACCACAAAAAATAAAATGTGGCTTGTGCAAAAATGATGGCACACTTCATACCATATGTGTCAGGCTCCAGTCCTCGTGGGCCAAAACACTGCAGACTTCGGCACCTCATTAAACACACCTGATTCAGCTCATCAGCTAATTAGCCAGGCCTTCATGAACTGAATTCAGAGCGTTAGATGAGGGTAAACGCTGATCTCTGCAGCACTTTGGCCCGGAAGGTCCCCAGTTTGACATGCCTGCTTTATACTGTATGTTTTATTTCTTCCAAACATAAACTCACTAAATAAATATAAATTGTGCACTAAAAATAAGCAGAAAATGTCTTATTTAAGCATCATACTCAACTGACTTTCACCTAGAAAATCAAGAAAATGTGACCAAGGGTTTTCAAACTTCTGCATAAAGCTGTATGTAGACGAACAAGGAGTGTGTTACTGTTTCTCATTAGGTTGAATGAAATTTTTGCCAACGATCTGTAAAATTTGTCTTACCAGGCAACAGTAGCTACAAAAGATCTGTAGGCGGAGCTTGTATAGGCCAGTTTCTTTAGTATGCAAATACAACTCACTGATTTTATTCATTCGTTGCACACATGAAACATTTCATCCACAGGATGAACACATACAAAGTACGTATTTGCAATAAATAGTGCTCTCTAAATGTACATATGTAGAGAAAAACCTAATAATTTTGCGAGCTGAATACGGTTGTGCCACGGGCCTGACTGGGCTTGCAGTCCTTGTGTTTGACCCATGGGCTCTATAGCACTGGGCTGTGGAGCAGTGGATTCTCTGGAGTGATGGAGCTCCATCCAGTACCTTTGGGATGAGTTGGAGTGATCGAGAACTGACCATCCAACATCAGTACCTCACTAATGCTCAATCAAATCCTCACAGCAATGTTACATCTAGTGTAAAGCCTTTTCAGAAGAGTAGAGGCTGTTACAGCAGCAAAAACAGCAGCTACGAACGAATGCATTTAAGGGTGGCATATGGTCAATTCAAACAGTTCCTTACTTTGTTTTATTATTCTATTCTGTTGAATTCATTGAATACATGAAACACTTCATTTACAGGTACAGAGAAATGCTACATTTAGCACACTGAGGCTAACTGTGGCTAGTTCAGACTGGACGAGTCACCACACTAAAGGGTTAACGGGTTTCCTGCGGCCTGAAAAAGCTCTCTGATCTGATTTCAGGTGACGTTCGCTGTGTAAAGGTGACTCTGCACGCTGTAATTCCATCTACCTGTCAGGTAAATAAACTTCAGCTCAATTAACTAACAGGTATCGCGACACACAGAGAAACACCTTGAAAGGTTTTCGTGTTTAAATAAAACTCTCTTAACCCACAAGTAACTGGATCTGTTGAGCTACAAGCTCATATGCTACCATTACAATCTCATCTCCGCCAGTCAGTGTCAAGTGCTTTGAGCCTGAGGGCTTGAGTTACTTGCGCTGCTGTCCAATCAGAAGGCAGCATTAAGAGGCTAATGTCTGGGGAGACTACGTAATACAGTTGGTAGCACTCACGCACTATGACCACTGCCTTACACACTATAGCAGGGGTGTCAAACTCAACCACTAAAAGGGCCATAGTGAAATATCTCTATCTCAACAAAACCATGGGCCAGCTGTGTGTTATTTTATTGTTAACATTTTGCGATCTGACCTCCAACTGGCCATTGTTTGTTCGAAATATGCCAAAACTACAACGGCAAAAACAGGCACTGAATACTTGAATGATTCAAAAATACTTCTAAATAAAAAACAAATTGCATATAAAACAACAGACTACATTAGATAACTGGTAAACTTCTTAAACCTCTTACCACTGTGGTGTTGTCCTGTAGATCGTTGTTGGGGAGGGGGTGGGAGCACACATTATGTTGCAGTGCATGCTGGGAACTGTAGTGCAGCTCATGATGAAATGGGCTAATATTAACAGAAAATTGAAATGATTTTGCAGGCCGAATAGGATTGCCTGACCTTGTGTTCGACACATGGGCTCTATAGAATTGGGCTGTGGAGTAGTGGATTATCTGGAGTGATGGAGCTCCATCCAGTACCTTTGGGATGAGTTGGAGTGATCCAGAACTGACCATCCAACGCTCTTGTGGCTAAATACAAATCAAATCCTCACAGCAATGTTCCAACTAATAGTGTAAAGCCTTCCCAGAAGAGTGGAGGCTGTTACTGCAGCAAAGGAGGACAAACTCCTTATTAGTACCCAGAAGAAAGGCAGGCGTCTACAAACTTTTGGACACACAGTCCCTGTTCAGCAGGTTTTAAATGAACCTGTTATCTGTAATATTCTGTTTTGAAGTTTCTAGCAATACAGTTTCACATTTTGCTGCTACACAGTGTAACCTTGACTCTGAATGGCTTCTGACCCCATCCACACAGAGCAAAGAATGAAAGGATCAGCAAGTAAATAAAGGAACTAGCTTCAGAAAGGTTTAATCGAAAGAAAGAATCCTTCGGTAAAGGACAAGCCAGCCATCTGTGGCAAAGGTCATCACGTCTACCCTGGAGGTTTTTCTTTTGTAGATCTGTTTCCACAGAAAAAAACCTGTTCACTTCCCTTCCGACTAGACACAGAGGAACAGTCAAGAAGAAATAGTTTTCACTGGTATTCTGTTAGTTCCTCTTATGAAGGTGCCAACCAATGGGGCTTAACGCACACTCATCACAGTCAAATAAATGTTTCCACCAGGGCATTACCTTTCAACAAGAATGTCTTCACTGGTTTAAAATCATGACCTCATGCTAAACTCAGATCTTGTTTCACAGGAAAACCTCCACAACGGGTTACTCTGCCGTATTATACGATGCTGAGGTTACAAATAGACAAGCTAAGAAAAATGCTGAGGGTGAAAAAAATCAAACAGGTTTGATTAACTCTGACTGTTCTGAAACGCGATTGGGAGGGCAAAAATCTGAGTCTGTGGCCCTCACACACGACTCGACTCTCTCTCCAACTGTCGACTCTGACTGACCCAAAAATCTGCAGACTAGAGCTGACCAGCACAGACTCAGACAGACTGAGAATCGGGGCTAAATTGTAGTAAAAGTCGTGTAGTGTAACCCTGGCTTTAATAAAAGTTTGTTTCCTGTCTGATTGATAAGAACCAGTGCCTGTGGGGACACACTCAGAAGTGTGGCTAGTCATTCAGAGTGTAAATGACAAAACAGCAATAGTTAGCCTTTAATAAATATCAGATGATTATTGTAATTAAGTGTGTAGGGTTTCTGAGGCTAAGATGATACGAAACGAGTCAGTGAGGAAGCAAAAAACACATGACTTGACTCAACCTCTGGGTATTAGTATAGGTTTGGGGATTAGCTTACCCAAACTACAGCCATACAAAAGCACCCAGGTCAATCCCACATCACTGACTGAGAGAAAGCAAACAAACGAATCTGAAATCCAGCCAATCTATAAAAACGCGTCATTCAACCGAACCCAGCAGAAGGTCAGCGGTACGTCCATCAGGCCCAAAATCAGCCGAACCACGCCAAACCCCTGCCAGGCCAGGTGAGCTCCAGCCAGCGCAGCAGCAGGTAGACGGCCGTGCTCCATCAATAATGCACCGGCGGCCTATCAGATTCCCCTCAGCTCGCAGTGTCAGAGACAGAGCCGCCTTCACTGCCTTTCATCTCCACACACACGCGGCGAGTCTGAGCTTTCCACACCGCCCTGAACACACCAAGGCCTCCATTCAGCGGCCTGAGGACCCGCGCTCTCCGCTTACACAGCACAGAGAGCGCCGTCTGTCAAACACGCAAATGAGCGACGGACGCAGTGGAACAACGGCCGAGGTCAGGAGTTTATGACACGCAAGATTACCAGTAAAAAAAAAACAACATGAAAACACCACGGTAAGGTGACCATAACAACACGTTATTTGGCCGCTTATGAGCACCAAGATTTGGAGGCTGTAGCTACAAATGGTAAGAAGTCATTTTGCTATGAGAAGAATGTGTGAAAACGAATGTTAACCCCTCACTTACTTCTGTGCACTGAAGTCCTTATAGTTTCCAAATAATAAGCCTAAGCATGT